CTCCGATTGGTTTTAATGGGGAGGTCCGATGGAATAGCGCTAATGTAATGTTTGCCGATGGCTTACTCGTCGCGGGTTATATAAGAGGGCGGGCTATACGGAAAATATTTTACACGATCTTGGAAACCTGCGGGTTATTCGCGTGGGCGGGTTATTTGCGTGGGTGGGTTATATGGATGAAAATACGGTAATCATACATTTCTTCTCCCTGGTCAATCTAGAATTCCAAAATTTATGCGGAGAATTTTGAATTAGTGGGTGGATAGTCCTTTCCCTTATTTTCTCTTTTATTTCAAAACTATTACATTCAAGTAGGTTTTTAAATTTAATTGAAATATAAATATATACTTTCCAGCATATTTTTTTTATTTATACTTTTGTTTGAGATGCAATTTTAAAATAAGTTTCCTGAGCAGAAAATATTTTGATTTATTTTTATGACTATATGCATTTGAAATTGATTTCCACCTTATGTGCATGTGTGAATTTAATTTTTTTGCCAAATTTCAATAGATTCTTTCAAGAAATTATAATTATACACTGTTAATGTTCATAGTATCTCTCAAATTAAACCTTTCCCCCACATATTAAATCTATTTCTCGAATAGAAGCTAATCGTTGGCTAATAGACAAGAAAGAGCCACATTTGACTTAGCCAATCTCCTTTGCAGCAGTGCAGCATTTGCAGTAAAATAACTCTTTTTGGCTTTCTCTGACTATGTGCAATTTTTTCCCCCAGCAAAATTTTAAAAAAGTTTCATGAACTCAAAAATAGTGCATGAATTCCCAAACATCAGTTTAAGCTTTCCCCTTTATGCTATTACAAAATGGAAAATTTTATGCAAGCTCTTTTCAAGGAAATTGGTCTCAGGCTGATGTCATTGAAATTCAGGTTCCTCCTCCTCAGCAGGGTGACTAGTGATATTCTGTTATGAAGTTATTTACTGCAAAAATATAGGCTCTTTATTCTGCAATAAAACACCTTTCACTGTGGAGATATAATATGATTTTTTTTTTGTGAATTCAGTGATTTCCCATCAAACCTGAAACATCTTGCAAATTTGCAAAGATTCCTTTATGTGTTATTCAGCTTAATGGTGCTCCTTGTTCCCAATACTGCTTAGTTAATACTATGATTTTAAAACATTTTCAAATTTGTTTTATTACATTGGATGGAGGAAGTTGATTGGAAAGATAATTTATAAAAGCATTCTTCCTTTGGGAAATGTTATGTGGGGATGCCCTTTCCACAGACTAGACAATGGTCAGGTAGTGAAGGTCAGGGAGAGGGTGGAATTTAATTGTCCAAGTTGACAACACATGAACAGACTATCAAATGGATAGTAAATAAAGCTTATCTCACACATTCCTGAATATGGAAATATAGCATTCAATTAAGGAAAGCATTTAAGTCGGTTGACCAACATTTTCTCCAACCAGGAGGAAATACCATGTGTGGTGCTGAAAAATTAATAACATTAATATATTAATGGCACAAATGAAGGTTAAAAACTATCAGAAATGAAAAGAATTCATTGGACATCTTGGATATAAAAGTATTTTGTCTAAATCAGCAAATTCTATTTTTTAAAAAATCTCTTTCTTCACTTGATATGCTATTTCTCTCTCATCCTCAATTCCTTCAATCCCAAAATTATGGTCTATTCTTAACTTTTTGTCTTTTCTGTAGTACAATAAATACAACCGCAACATCACTACTATAAGGAAGAGGGTGTTTGGTATGATCAACTTTATAAATGTGGTAAGAAAACTTGGCAAAAGTTTTTTTAAAAAATTTATTTACACAACAAAATTAATGAAATAAGATGACTCAGGAGACTGATTTTTACAAGAATGCTAACTTTCTCAGCTTGGAGTGCACCAAAACTCCATCATTTGGTAAGTTGGTGATGCAGCATGGAAGCCTAATTCAGAAAATGGGTTAGTTTAGTAACTAGGTTAATAAGGCTCTTAGGTGAATACAGCCATTGTGTTGGGAGGATGCAAGTCTAAAACTGTTGCAAGAATTCAATCAGTGCTACATCTCTGTAGCTGGATTCTTTCAGAGCTGTGGTCAATCTTCTGAACTTGGAGATTAGACAGAAATGAACAGAGTAAGCCTAGTCCAAACTCAACTGATTATGAAGATGATCCCTGAGAATAAAGCAGGACAGAGGAAGCCAATTTAAGTTGGATTGTGGCACTTAGGAGAAGATCCACCCATATTATCTCTGCTTCTATCCTATTAGCCTTGTTGACATCTTCACTGTTGATCATCAGTTAGAATCAGGGAGACCACGGGAACATCAGTGGGTGAAATCTCCCTTTACTCCTCCTCCTCTTCTGTTCTTGGTTAAAGATAATAATAACCTTGTTCTTCTTTATCATTTTATTTAATTCTTCTGCTTAATAAATTATTATTCTTTAATATGTGGAGTCCTCGATGCTGTCTGAGTTTGGTGGTTTCCTTGCAGATATTTCATTACCTGACTAAACCACCAGGTTCATAGAGCACCAAGGATTCCCCCCTTTCAGTTCTACCCTGAGCTTCAGAGATTCTCTTTCATTGATTCCCAAATTTCACTGTCCCACAGAGGCCAATGTCAGTTGCCTTTCGGTCTTGAAATGGTTCTCACAGTTTACTTCTGTTTGAGTTTCTCATTGATGCCATGTCTACCCCACAGGTTTATAAAGCTTTGGGAATTCATGTAGTATTGATTGGCTTAAATATTTGGTGCGACGGAGATAAGATTGTGGTCAGTGCAACAGAGGACAACTTGTTCTCCTTTTCAGTATGGAGACAGAAAAATCTGAAACACAAAAAGAATGACAACACACAGCTACTCACGTATGTCTCATTGTGGAGAGAGGGAAAGAGGGGGGCAGGGAGTGGAGGATTATGGGAAAGTTAGTGTTTGCACAGAACTTCCTCTCTGAGTTGCATGCCTTAATCCATGTGCAAATTATATTCTGGATCAAATCAATCATTTTTTTTTCTTATATGAGAATTAGTCTTGAGAAGGGCTTGAAGGGATGCAGGTCAAAAAGCCAGCTTGATTTCATTTCACTTGAATCTAAATTGAAACTCAAATGAATAACAACTTTAATGACAATTTTAAAGAGTGCCTGGATGTCAACACTTTAAAAGACAGAGAGAACTACCTGTGGCCCAGAGAACTTTAATCTCTGCTTTGAAAGTCACAAAAATGGTATTTTGGCATATGTAGAATGATGTAATTAGAAGAAAGCCAGGATCTATTTTTCTTCCCATTTCCAATATTTATCAGTAACAAAATGATTTTTCAGACTTCTAGGTTTATAATAGCAGCATTTTCTCCAAATGTTCTCAGAATGAAAATTCAAGTGGAAAAATGAAGAATGCCACGTCAATTGATATCTAAGAAAAATTATGGGCCTAATTAATACAATTATTTGAACTAAATTGGTAGAAATCTCCAAGAATAAATTAAAAAATAAAATCTTGGGTAACACTTGAAATTGATAAATTTATTGTCTTTTAGCTATAATATATTGGACAAATAACAATTCTGTTATGAGCAATCCTTAGATGGAGAACAAATCAAAGTGAATATAAAATAAAATAATAATCCATTTTCTTTTCCCACAGGTGTTTATTTCAGTTATCACTTAATCTTCTTTCCAAGCTCAATTAATCTTTAATAACACAATAGCAAATTGATAGAAGAAACATATTTTTTATAGAAACCCACGTTTGGGGTTTTTACTGTACAGCTTCTATAAACTGTGTCCTCCTCACTGCTTTCTTATAGGGGTGTTCAGTTCAATGGAGGAAGTTTTGGATACGCTCCCCTTAGAGGCATGTGTGATCCTTGGATATCTGTGGGAATTGTTCAGGTTGGTAGAAGTTATACCCATTACAAGTTTGGACTTAATGAAAATTTATATACAGGCATATAATCTCTAAATTACTAAATGGAAAAAAAAATAGTAAACCTTCTTGCTTTGAAAGTTTCTTACAAGCTGTAGTGGCACAGTGGTTACAATGCTCTGCCCACTGCCAGGAGTTTGATCCTGGCTGCCTCAAGGGTGCCTTCCATCTTTCTGAGTTTGGTAAAATGAGGGCCCAATGTGCTGATTCTGTAAACTGTTTAGAAAGTCCTGTAAAACATCATGAAGTGATAAATAAGTCTAAGAGCTTTTGCTATTTGAACAAAGAAACTGTTTTTTTTTTCAGGAAATACAATCACAGCCTTGCAAATTATTAAACTCTTTTTCTAACTCTTAGATCAGTGGTTCTCAACCTTCCCAATGCCGTGACCCTTTAATACAGTTCCTCATGTTGGGGTGACCCCAACCATAAAATTATTTTTGTTGCTACTTCACAACTGTAATTTTGCTACTGTTATGAATTGCAATGTAAATATCTGATAGGCAGGATGTATTTTCATTATTACAAATTGAACATAATTAAAGCATAGTGATTAATCTGCCAATTTTGGTTTGGGAGATCAGCCAGGCTGGGATTTTCCAGTATAAAATAATCTCCTTGCATGTCTCCAGCAGCAGTTCGTGGTTTACATGTTTCACTTTATTAATTTTACTTTTTTTCCCTTCCATTCCCCCCACCTTCCCACCCAGTTTCTTTCTTTCTTTCTTTCTTTCTTTCTTTCTTTCTTTCTTTCTTTCTTTCTTTCTTTCTTTCTTTCTTTCTTTCTTTCTATTCCTCCCCTTTTCTTCTTTCTTTTTTTCCATTCCTCCCTCCCTCAATCGATTTAACACAGATTAAGAAGTTGTCCTTTAAATGGGATTTTAAACAGAGGCTTAAGATACATTGAACTGTGCTTCTGTCATGAATGGAATTCCTCGGGACAGAAGGAATGGGTGGGAGGGGCCTGTCCTCCCCTCCGGCCTCTCCTGCCAGCCCTTCCTGGGGGCCAAAAAGCTTCTGAGCTCAGTTTAGCCCGTAGGACAGGTCTGGCGGCCGGGACGGCAAATGCAGTGTCCAAGCCCAAAGTGGCTTTAAACCCAGCATCTGCCTGGTTTAACTGCCCCACCGGTCTCCTGTTCTCCGGTTGCCTTCTAGCCCCTGTGTAGGACTGAAGTTGGATGTCTGTTGGAGTCGAGGCTGATCCGCCACCCAGAAGAACCTGTCTCTCTACCCCTTCAGCGCCTCAGCCTTTCCATGGCATGGAGACTGGGCGGGGCAACATCTGGGTTGCACTCAGAGCCAGGAGAAGGGTGCTTCATCACCCGGCGCTCTTCATGCACCTGATGCTTCAGGATGCACTCTTGAGCATGGGCAATGCCAGTGGAGGTGGATAATCTTAGGCAACCCCTGTGAAAGGGTCGTTTGACCCCCAAAGGCATCATGACCCACAGGTTGAGAACCGCTGTCTTAGATATTTCATTAGAAAGTGCTTGAGCAAAGGTGTTAGCTCAATGCTAGCTAGATTCACTTTTGATTTATTGCAGACTAAAAACAAACAAAGTACTCTCTTTTCTGCAGGATCATTCCAAAGATGTTAGTTTGGTTGCATCTACAATGGCCCATGAGATCGGTCATAGTGTGGGCATGGAGCATGATGCAAATTCCTGCACTTGCAAGGGTGGCCCATGCATTATGGCTGCTTCGGGAGGGTAAGTATTCAGGAAAAAAAAATAACGTTTTTCTAATCAAGTTATATTTAAATAGTTGCAATTAAATGTTAAAGTAAGTATGCTAAGAGCTTAAAAAATAAAATGGTCTGAGAATTACACAACAGTGGGGTTTGGCCATATATGTGTCACTTTACCATGTGTAATTAAAATTGGTTGTATTTAAAATGATAGGACTACCCTCAACAATTGAAGAGCCATCCATCAGTACTTCCTCCAAAACACAAGAGTTTAGAGAAATAACATAGGAAGCATAGCCAAGAAAACAAATATTAATAATTATGATAGATGGATGCATAGATAGATAGATAGATANGTCAGACAGCAAGGAAAGAAATTGCCCCATGGAATTGGCAATCTGACCTTGCAGTTCCATATGCTGAAAAAGCACCGATACATTTTCCTATGGGAAGAAGGAAGTAATGCACCTGATATGCTTCAAATCTTAGCCATAAGGGTAGTTCCTGAATAATTTGGGTAAGTTAATGGTGGATGATGAAATTAGAATGCAGGAGGGAGAGACTTTTTCTTTCCCAGGAAAATACAAGTAGCAGAAATTTTGACAGGCTGAAAAATAGGTCAAAAAAGTGATTTCTTCATTTGCTTGTTTCTATGCCAAAATGGATGCAATTGGAGACAAGTGCCATACTACACTATGTACAAAGAAAATATTTCATACCATGATAAAATCTCTCTCTATAAATGTCTTCTTCAAAAAAACAATATTTCTTAAACTCCAAGGACTTTGACCAGGAAGTAAAACATGCAGACTGATGACCTGTTGGCTGCAGGGAGTAACATGTCTAAAAAATCTTTTGTTTACTGTTCTGTTTAGCAAAATAACTTTTTGGATGACCCAAAATATATCGAGCTTTACATAATTGCAGATAATGCACTGGTAAGTATCCTGGATAGCATTTCATTTTCTTTCTGCATTGTGCACACATTTTTCTTTCTGTCTTTTTTTACATAACATTCAAACTGGATTGTATCTTAAAATGTGCTTTATCTTAAAATGTGCTTTATAATAAACTTTGATAATTATATTTGTTATTACAGTCAAATGTTTAAGAGATGTTTGACATTTAACTACATTCTAATTGCACATTAGTCACCCAGGACTCCATCTAAATTTTAATTATATTTTATTCAGAAATGCCAAGATCAGGAAATTGAATACAGAGAAGATAAATGAAATTTCGAAATGGAGAAAAGAGTAAAAGGGAATACCGTATTTTCACCCATATAACCCGTGGGTTATATGCGTTTTTTACCTACTCTGCATGCCCCCGCAGGGTATAAAAGTGGGCGGGGTATTCAGAAATATTTTACACAGATTAACTAAAGGGAGAGCTTGGGAGATCAAGGAATTGGGAGGCAGCTTTACCTCGGTTCCCCGTTCTCCATCGGGGGCACGTGCAACCAGACTGGAAAGGGCTGGGGAGACTTGGCTCGGCAGCTCAGGCTCCTTTTCTCCCTTTTCCTGCTTGGGTTTCGGGACGCCTTTGTGAAAACCCCGCCCCTGGCTATGGCTTAGGCATGGTGTACAAAAACTTATTTGCATAAATCTTGACTGCAAGATTTTTGACGGGAGGCAGGAACAGGCAGGAATGGAGGAGAAGGGAAAGTGCTGAGGTCGGGGAAGGGACAGGAGGCGGGAACGGAGGAGAAAGCCTGGGCGAGCTGGGGAGGGGTTGG